GCGCAGTTCGGCGACGGGGGGGAGGGGGGGGGGGCATTTTGCACTTTCGTTGCTTCACTAGTTCCGGTTTACAAGTCTCACTCTGGTGAAACCTGTGAACTCTTGTGAAGCTGGAGCAAGCTCGTCAAGCCATCATGGTAAACCTGTCAACTCGAGAAGAGGCTGTCTAGATGGGTCGACACGTCGATGGGAAGTAGCAAAAGTGCAAAATGCCCCCCCCCCCACCACAGAACTGCCCCTAAGACCCTGATCAAGGAAGCGGTTGCCAAGAAGACTTACTTCAGCTAACAGCACAATCATTTGTTGTACTACAGACACATCAACTGCCTCGCACAGGTACTGTAACACACACTTCGTCCATTGATAGCGATCCTTGGAGAACGTCTTCGTAGTGTACTGCGACAGCATCTGAAGTAGGGACGGAATAGTCAAGGATATAGATGGGGAGTACACTAAACGAACTCTACCGTAGCCAGGTTATTCAACGGGTGATCCATCTGTGACCCTTCCGCATTCTTTAGTGACTCCATGCAGTACTAAAAATATCAATGGAAAAGCGAAGAAGAAAAAAAACCAAAAGTTACCCAAATAAAAGTTACCTGTTTCAAAACAGCGCATACTGACAAGCACAAGTGATTAGGTGCGTCGAAGTTGAAGAGAAGATAAGGAAGTACATGACAGACGACGAGACCCAACGAATCGCGACCACCTACGACTGGCTCATCGAGAACATCGATAACTCGTATCAACGCCTGAATCGACGGCTCGTAAGCCGAATTGACGATTGTCCCTGAAATTGTTACCGATAGCATCTTCATCGCTCTAATGTTCAACAGTTTCAAGAGAAGGGAACCGCTTAAACTAAACAGTTTGCGCCATGCATCCAGCTTTACTGCAAAAATGAGAACAACGAATTTTTGCGCTAGCAGTCTTCCAGAAAGACATAAAAGTTTCACTGAACAGAACTTTGGGCACCATTCCATTATCACTGCTCCAATTTTTTTTGCTGAAACTCTGCCTACAGATATTATTCAGTGTCCTGATCACAGATATGAAATTCATTTTTGGCGCTGGCGCCAATCCGTGCAACCACCTCGTTCTCCAAAAGCGATGAAAACTTTTATACGAAGGGTCATTTGACATCCTGATGATGGGTATGAAGTATGTTTTTAGCGGTTGCTTTTTCTGTTTGTTTATCCTTTCGCTCCAAGTGGCGCCGACGTTAGTTTGTCACCAATAATCGTTGAAACTGCGGGTCCGTTGATACCCTGAACACGGAGACGACATTCATTCTTCGACGCCAGAGCAACTTACCGCTCTGCTAAGGCTGAGCAAAGAGCGTTCTTCGCCAGGCTCAGCCTTAGCAATACCCAGATGATCAGAGAGCCCTACGACGGTGCCAAGCATAGATGCACTTATTCGTGATCAGGATGTAAGTAACCATCCGTACACAATGTTTTCATTTAATTCACGTAGAGAAAAGTGGGAAATTGCCGCGCTTATTGGCGACAGCGCCCAGGACAGATGAAATATCGTTCCTCGATCAAGGCATTAAATAATTTCTGTAGGCAAAGTGACAGAAAAAAAAATTTTTTTGACTTTCTAGAGTAGTAACAGTGGAGTGCTCAACGAACTCCAACAGAACTCAGTTGCCGCACTTAGAATTGGTTCACCCATCCCTGAGCTCCTGTCCCTCTCAGGCATAGGTGAAGGTCCTTATTTCCATTATTGAATTCAGGCTCCGCACAAGGAGTCTTTGAAACGCCTTTCCAATCCTTCAAAGCGCTAGAAACAGTATGGAGGCTGTCACTGAGAACTTGCACGGCATTTCGATCTTCTGTTTATTTAGTGAAGTCCTGTAAAGTTCTGTAAGGTATCAAAACCGTTTGTTTGTACCTTTTTGCACTAAATGCCTCCCAGTACTAAGAATACAGCAAACAAACAGCGTGGAAATTAGGCTTATATCATTTCGGAGCTTTGAGGAAGTTTGCGGAAGACTTTACCATGGGGGGGGCAGTTTGGCGAGGGGGCGCCCTGCACTTTGCTACTTTCCCTTGACAAGGCGTGCCACCCAGAGAGCTGTTTCATGTGCTTACAGGTGTTGACAGGTTACCATGGTGGCTCGGCGCTTGCTTAAGTTTCACAAAAGTTCACAGGTTTCACCAAAATTAGACTTGTAAACAAGTAGTGGAGCAGCGTGCAAAATGCCCCTCCCCTTTGCGCCCAAGGGGGAGCAAGAATTTACAGATGTTTACGAGATGCTCTGTCCTGAGGGCACGATTTTCACGTTATGGCAGAATGACGTCAGAAGATATCAAGATTCCAGCACATGATTTTCTTTTCAAGTCGCTTTTCACAACCAAAACCTCAGAAGCCTAGGTAAATTATGGGTGGCTTATCCCAGAAAATCTATAGTGCTCGAACTCCTGGAAATCAGAAAAACAACAGCTGTCACTCG